GCCTGCACATCAACCCGACCAACTGGGAAGAGCTCGCCCGCGATCGTCCGACATGGAGGAGAACAGTGAAGACGGGCGCTGCTATCTACGAAGCCAACCGCATCGCCGCCGCCAAAGTGAAACGCGAAGTCCGCAAATCACACCTTCGCCCAATACGCAACGCCGCCGCACAACCTCTCCCTACGTGTCATCGATGTCAACGGACATTCCGGGCACGAATCGGACTTGTTGGACATCTTCGAACCAACTGCACCTCTCGAACTGCTCCAGCCATCGTCCCCGCGCCCGCCTCTTCCTCGTCCTCTCTTCCGCCAACTAACTCTGACACTCCTTCTGCACCACCACTTCCATCCTCCTCCTTCTCCTCCACTGCCCCAACGGTGGCCCTTCAGGCTGCCTTCTCACACATCGCCAACCACGACACAGCAACCGCAACCACCCCCACCTGCCCACACTGCGACCGCACCTTCACCTCACACAACGGCCTGGTCGGTCACTTGCGAATCCATCGCACAGAGACTGGTGAACCAGTGCCTGGAGCACCAACCTACACCCACCGCACTCGCATCCACTGCCCACACTGCCCTCGCACCTTCCGGCATCGCATGGGCCTATTCGGCCACATGCGCATCCACGAGAGCGGAATTGACCGCAGCCTTGACACACCCACCCCGCCGAGCCCCACTCCCAATCCATCACCTTGTGCACCCACTAACCACTCCCCAGCCGACATCGACGCCACCGACCTTACCACCCCTCACTCCCCCCTTCCTCCTCCGCCTCCTCCTTCACTGCCACAAAGACGGCCACTCCGGCGTCTGTAGCGCACGACTTCACCACAGCCGCACCTGACACAACAACAGGCACAACCCCTGCAACCTCCATCAACAGATGTGAGGGCCCGGACTACATCTGCCCTCACCGCGATCGCACCTTCACTTCACGCATCGGCCTGGTCTGTCACTTGCGAATCCATCGCACAGAGTCTGGCGAACCAGTGCCTGGAGCACCAACCTACACTCACCGCACTCGCCTCCACTGCCCACACTGCCCTCGCACCTTCACGCATCGCATGGGTCTATTCGGCCACATGCGCATCCACGAGAGCGGCATTGACCGCAATTCCGATACAGCCACGACATCCAACACGCCCAGACCCATCCTCGCCCCACCGTCACACGCGCCGACCACGACCACCGCCACCACCAACACCACTGCTTCCTCTACAGCTGACACCGACACCGCCAACCTCTCATGCCCACATTGTCCACGCACCTTCACCTCACGCATCGGCCTGATCGGTCACTTGCGAATCCATCGCACAGAGACTGGCGAACCAGTGCCTGGAGCACCAACCTACACCCACCGCACTCGCCTCCACTGCCCACAATGCCCTCGCACCTTCACGCATCGCATGGGTCTATTCGGCCACATGCGCATCCACAACGACCTGCAGTAGACAACCGCCGGTCACACCACACATTCCCTCACTCCCTACCTCCTAACACCATCACCCCACCAGACATCAACCCCCACACACCTCATGCACTCAGCTGCCGCCTCCCACGCAAGTGGGAAGTGTGCATCTCGACTCGGTCCCCATGCGGCCTCGGCTGCACGGGTGACTTGAGTCCGAGACTATCCCGACACGTCAAGTGTCGTGGATAGGAAGGTTGCTGATTGACGCCCGTTCTCGGTTCACGCAGTTCGTCACGTTGTGTGTGTGTGTTGTGTAGTGGCGGACTGGTGGGCTGGGGACGGGCTGAAGCAGCACCTTCCACGGCCCTCTCACGCATGTGAGAGACACGCCGTTCGACCCCCTTTGTGTGAAATCCTGGTGTTTGTGTGTATGGGGGGCCAGGTCGTGCTGTGGCGCGCGCAGGCATGGTCAGTCGACCATGTCAGCCACCGCGCCCATTCCCCACTCCAGTCTACTGACCGGCTCGGACAGTGGCTGGGGTGTGGGAATGGGAAGGGAGAGTGAGGTCGACGACTCAGCGCATTTTCCTCACTATAAACAATCTGACGCGCTTGAAGCTATCACGGTGCGCTAAAAGCCGTGGCTTGGAAGGTTGACTACTGACGGGGTACCTTGGACCTCCTCCTTAACGGGAGGCGGTCTGAGAGTCAGGCTGCAATGGCTCCTTTTTAATGTGGCCTTTATGGCATTCCCACCACAGTGTGGGATCCGAGCCAGGCGTTGGCGGCACGCCCAGGTGCGGCTTCGGCCGTGCCAGCCTCCAAATCTATGTTGTGTTGGTTCAAATCCTGGTTATTGTTGTGTGGACCAGGGGGTGTGGTGGAACGCCAAGGTGAGGATCCGTCCGAGCCATCCACCCGCGGCCTCCCTCGTCTCCGGTCTTCTTGACTCTGTCTTGACACCGGGCCCAGGCGGGGGAGGTGGAGAGAGTGTAGGTAGATGCTACGCAAGTCTACTGGCACTATAAACCCCTGCGTAAGTCACCGTCCCTGCTCCCACCGCTGCTGCAGCTGTGGGGCACACGGTGGACATCGTCGAAATCGACGGTCGAACTGTCATTCTAAAGCAAACTTCCTCTTCTTATTCTGCCTCACTAAAATATTGTCATATTAATATTATTAATGCTAAAACCTCTACATCACTTG